AATCTAGTGAAATAAACTTAAAGAGAAAAAGGTGTAGGTGATGAGGGATTCAGGTAACGATTTGAGAGAACACAGAATGAATGTATCTGCGCCTAACTCGACCTGTAGTGTTTGAGTAGACAGCTTTTATAAGGTTAATGTACTTCTCTGGTACATCTTTTAATGACAGACCCGTCACAGAACCTCACAATCCACAGAGTCAAATCCCGCCTTAAGGTCAGGGAAGACAACTATTGTACGACATCTGAATGTATGTCTGTGTTCCAGGACATATCGTAGTATGAAAATGTGGTCTATACAGCCACGTCCAGGTCGATAACCAGCCTGATTTTCTCTATTCTGTACTTCACGTGCTCAAGTTAAGCGTCTAAGGATAATTGAGGCTAACAATTCAGAAACTACATCAGTTAGACTGATTCCATGTGACTGTCACCAGAAGACTTTTCGTCCATTCCTATAGATTGGGACAATCAGGGATTGAGACCAATCGGATGGGTTTACGTCCAGTTCCCAGATTCTACCTAAGATCTCAGTCAATCTAACTCCTAAAACTGGACCATCATCCTTAAAAGTCTCAGAGGGTAGGCTATCAGGACCCACCGCTCTCTCTTTAGACTCTCCATAGCTTTTACGACTTCATAAAGATTCGGAGGGCTTGCCATTTAGGATGACTGGAGATCGTGGGTGACCGCAGTGTTGCTTAAGGCCTGTCGAACTGATTCCTGAAGTGTTCTGCCCATCGATCCAATCTCCTGGATTGAGAATGAATAATAAGACCATCCTTTGCTGAGACAGTCTCACTTACATTCGGATTTCTAATACCGGTTTTCTTGATGAGTCTGAATAGTTGTCTACTGATGCCTATCGCCGCTGTCTTTTCCATCTTCCTTGATTTTGCTACCCACCACTGTTCGCACTCAGAGCCAGACGGGATGAGTTTTTGAATACCTTCAGTTCGATAGTTGCTACCTACCTGAACATTAAAGTCACAAGCCACTTTTGCTATATATCAGAGCGCCCAACGTTTTGGATAGGTTCTAAAAGTTCTCCAAAAAACACATCTTTCACCACGTCTGAACTGCAGTCAGTGGTAGTGTATGCAAAGACAGCGAAGAGGCAACACGAGTGTCCCTATCCTTACGAGAAACTATCTTCTGGTATCCAGTCTAGGAAAGCTAGTACTACCCTACAACTAAATGCTATACCTACACGAACTAGGCCACGAGAAGCGGAAGCAGGACTTCCAGATACACGAAGCGTAAACCGTGTTGGTTCACTATCTTTACAATGTGAAATCGAATTGACTATTTTACTCGGATCTTGTGTGAGCGTTTCGGAGAGGCAACACGAATTGATTGCACGGGATTTCAGAGTCCTAGCTAACGAAGCCTGTTGCCCTATTTGGCACAAGGTTCGAAAATTAATGGCTCCAATATGTAATTTAGTACGGGGTTTCAGGAGAGCAGGAACGTTTCATGAGCTCGGATCGTCTGCTTGAGCGGCGCGAGGTGACAGAGGAATGGACCAAGGGTTGGTCGTGCAGAGAAGAGTTATTAGGAGGTGTAGAAGGGATTTGGTTGTGATCGAGTTTGTCTCGTGTGCTTTTATGGGTATGAGGGCGGATGTTACTTCCTGGCTGCGTGCACCGTGAAAGGGTTCTGATTATTAGAAGGGGCATCGGCCTTCAGAAGAAACTCGGCTTACATCATGAGACGTCATAACTCATATAGATGAAGACCTTCTAACTCCCAGGGCAGAGTTTATATGGTTTGATTTATTTTTTCTTGTTAGCCTAACCTTCCTCCTTGGGGTTGGCAACCCCATCTCCTTGAAAACTGACTCGCTAAAGAAACGTTATTTCAGGAAATATGCATGTATCGACTAAGGGAGTGAGGGCTGGCGGAAGTTATAACAGTTGCCATCCTCAGGATTGATGACATTTAGATGCAACACTGTGTCCGTTATTTTGAGATTCGGTATGCGTTTTTGGGAGTAGTGACGATATCTCATTTAGTGTAATACTTTATTCATCAACTTTTTGTGTGGCGAGTACTTATTTTGGCGTTGATTTGTACCAATATTTATGTTTTAAACAAATAACTAATAAAAAATCCTGTTGATAACACTTTAAGATAATTTACAATACCACCCCAAAATAATCACATTTATATCTAACTCACCTACCATCCATAAATGAACAAGTCTGATTTGAAGCTAGACGTTCAGCTAATAAAGTTAAACGTGGACCAACCATTCTATCGAATTCCACAAAAAACTCCATTGGAATAGGATCAGTACCTGAAGCATATAATTATTTATCAAATAAAAATATTGAGTATCGAACAAATGAATAGAAAAACACTAAGTACATAAGGAGAAAACATTAGAAAACTATTCTGACATATATATATATATATATATATATATACATTCGGGATTATGAAGAACAATCTAGTCAATATATAAAATTAGACAACCAGAATGTTTTATTTTTCCAAGTAACCAACAGATGACGATGAATGTATTTATTAAAGTATGGTATTAAGTCAATTAACATTGGATTGATGATTAAGGGAAAAATCCTTTTCAATCATCGTTAAACAAGAAAAAATTATGGAATTAATATTAAATAAGATTAATTTTCAAGTATTTCTTGTTTACATTTTTTTTAACATACACGATATCGACAACTTTTAAAATAATCAGGGAAGAGTTCAATTTATCCTAAGATAAAGTTTTAAAACTCACTGACTTTGGACAATTGTGTATTGTATGAACTTAACTTCATCTTATAGTTTGGAATTATTTTTATGGTACATTTATAGAAATGGAAGACCTGTAAGTTATACATCTTTGGTAAAAATATATTTGATAGAAATGTTGGATGATTTTGGTTAGAACTGTCAGATGTTCAGCCTTTCTCGGTAATATGCATTAATTTACTAAATGCTCTATAGGCGAATTAGATTATAGTTTAGACAGATTAAAAATTCGATTGTACATTGTACAAAAGACATCACTGACAGAATCGTCTTAGTTTGAAATCTTTCAGGAATATTAGCAGATAAAGTACCAAACTAGTTTTTAGAAAAATACTAGTTTGAAGATGAATGTACTTTAATTCAAATGAGATAAAATGATTTATGAGATAGGCAACCTAATTACCATGGCAAATTGTTGTTAGTTCAGTTTTAAATGAACGTTTTTGAGAAAGATACTATTGTGTGAAAGTTAATTTGCAGACTGTAAAAAAATCCGTCGATATACGTTCGTAAGAAATTCAAAACGTATTGCCGGGATCTAGATCTTAAAATGCTAACAGTACAATGACTCAAGCTAAAAACAATAAAAACTTTACTGAAACTAAATAGTTTTCACCAAATACACGATAAAAGTAACCGGACGGATGAATATAAAATGCTTTCCAACCATGCTGTTTAGGGTCTCTCTCTATCGAATACTGTTTTCTCGCAGACCCAACGCCGACTGATCTAAATTTACTTCGTTTAGATCGGTTCGATCAGCTAAAATTAGTTGATGTCCCTTTTAAAATACTATATGCCACCTGGTATCACAACCACATGACCCCGAAGCATATACGAGGAAGCTAATGACGCAGTTTCCGACTATTTTTCAACCTGGTTTGGATCGGTGCTCTGCCATGAAAGCAACGCTGCGGTTGAAACCTGGGGCTAAGCCTGTTTTCCGTCCAAAGAGACTCGTACCTTACGCAACATTACCAACAGCAGATGAAGGACTAAATCGCCCTCAACAACAAGCAGTTTTTACGCCCGTTTCTTACTCTACTTGGGCAGCAACTATAGTTGTTGTCAAGAAGGCCGACGGCACGATACGTATATGTGCTGACTTCTCTACAGGTCGCAATGCAGCTCTGGAACAGCATCATTATCCTCTGCCAGTTCCCGCAGATCTGTTTACTATGCTGTTTGGGGGATAGTTTTTCGGAGAACTGGATCTAGCTGATGCTTATTTGTAAGTAGGAGTTGCTGAGGCATCAAGAGATCTGCTTACTATAAATACTCATCGTGCTTTGTTTCAGTTTAATCGTCTGCCTTTTGGAGTCAAGACCGCCCCATCTATCTTCCAGCAACTAATGTATACCATCCTATCAGGTATCTTCACAGTCGCGGCTCATCTCGATGATTTGTGTGGCACACAAACCAACAGAATCACTTCAATCAATCCTATGCAGGCCGAAGGACAAAATGACAAAGGAAGAAAAACCAAATATCATCTACAAAATAAATTGCTTAGACTGAAAAAACATTACATAGGACAAAGTGGACGTCCTTTTCAGCTTTGTTCACGTGAACACCAGTTAGCAGTCAAACACCACGACAATTCTTCGCTTTCATCAATACAAACGGACAACTATGAACATACACTCGATTGGAACAATGTGGAAATACTGGATACGGGGAGCACAAAGAACACTAGTGTTACGCATGCACGTAAAAACGTCATTTGATAGGCTTGAACCACTACGAGTTCATTCTAATCAGTGAACAAGAACGAGGATCGAGGATCCAACGACAAGACATGCTACTCTAATCCGAGTGCCCCAACCCCCATATCGAGTAAAAAGAAGAAGACTTGATATGAAGTAGAGCCTCTATTCTACAAGCATTCAGAAAGTACGAGGTCCGAGTCCAGAAGACAATCAGGATCCCGGACTAGGGATCAGGGTCCGGGTAATAGAACGTTACAGATAATCCGTATTTATACATTTAGGTTGAATAACTAGAGAATTTCTGGAAGCTAAGCACTCAGGTCATCAGCAATTAACAAGCACATCGACAGTGAACCGATTTACCGAACAATCAGAAAAATCATACGCAAGATAGGATCAGGAAACAGATCAAAAGGGTGATACAATCAAAACAAAGGTGAAAACAACGACAGGTTTAAGGTCAACAGCAACCAGTCAAGATCGAGGTTAACAGAACAAGCTACGGGCCAAGCGTGGAGAAATTCGAACACATCACTTCTATCTGAAATTTGTGCTAATGATGTTGTTCAGAAGAACAATGAAAGCTCCAAAAACAAAACATCCAGCTCAGAGAACGGAAAATCACCACAATCATCCACCTGGGCTATAAATTCTCTACACGACCTTGACATCCTGCCAGATACCTTCAAATTACCGGCAACCCCATCACGAGAAGGAGGTCTTTTCGACAGTGGAGAACAACAGTCAAGATGCAACGTATGCTATTATAAACGGAAGGAGTATTGGGGTTGTTAGGTCCACAGAACTCACTTGGAAAAGGCCCTAATTTTGTAATTTTATTCTAAAATCTCGGATTTCTATGTTTTCTCTCCAGAAACGTTAGGTTGACCTTCAGCTTGCTTTTCCAACTAGGAAAATCCTTGACTGTCATTGGTTGATGGATTATTTTGTTACTCTATTTCGTGGCTCAAGAGGCTCCCAAAGGCGTTTCCATCATTGTATAAATAAGCTTGAGATTAGTGCTTAGCAACCTCGTATTTCCTGGGTACCTGTAGAATACATTCTCTACGCTTTATCAAGACTTCTTGTTCCAGTTAGCGTGGTCTGGGACAATCAGATTAGAATAACCTATTGTGTCACTGTATCGTTGATCTTCGTTCAGTTTACCGAACAAGATGAACTCGTAATAGTTACAAGCACATCAAGAACCCTAAGAGGTTTTCTTGCGATATCTTTCCTATGTCCAGTAAGCCTCAAACAAATACGCGCTCGTACTAGAGCATGGTCTGAATGCAACCTAATAAATTGATTTAATAGTCTACCATTTTCATTGAAGCCGACAAAAATTATCGAAGAATGAAAATTCAATACATGTTTACTGATTCCGAATTTCTTGTATTTACCTATGAATTCAAAATATCATATCATGAAAGTAGAAAATAATGGTTTCTAGGTTTCTGAATTTTATTGATGATGAGAATTTCTGGTTTTTGATGATTGGCATTAGATTGTGTGTTAGCAAAATGAACATGCCTCTTCACATTGAATATTTAACATAATCAATGATAAATTAAAATTAAATGATTCCGTTAATAGTTAACATGGATATAATTTTGATCAAAACCATTGTCAACCTATAACACACTAAATGAATGTACTTTTCTATTTCTTTAAAACTTCAAATAATAACAACAATCTTTATAATTCTAATGATTATATAACAGTCGTGTTAACTTAATAATATATTTTATAATTCCATTTCATTTATAGCATAAAATACATTAAACTGACCTATTTGGATTAATTTAATCACAACTTGCTATTTCATTGCAACTTTATGAGATTAATGCAATATTCACTTTTACATAGTACGAATATATATTCTGCTCAGTGTTGTTAAGATTTATTTTTACAGTATATACTATTTGAGACTATAATAATTTCGATTTCTATCACAGAATAAAGCCAATTTTTTAATTTTAGAAAGCTTATAATTACTACTATCAACAGCGTTTCTATAGAAAACTCTACTGTAGCAGTCAATGCTTGACAATGAATCACTGAGTGATTTACACACGAATATTACTTGATTTACACACTAACCCATTCGGCTGTAGTTTAGTGAGTTCGAGTAAATTCTTTATACTTCCGTCATGCGGTCATGTGATTTCCTGAAGAGGTTATTTTCATCCAACTTTCTACAGATTCACTTTTCTTATGGAACACTTTCTTATTGAAATGCCACCATGTTTTTGCACTAATTCAAATATTTTCTAAAAATATTACGTCACGAAATAAATCACTTGTAAGTACTTCATAGAAGTCCCATCAAATAATACTATAGGGGTATAATTTAAATTGCTGAGTTTAATCAATTCATTCAATCTTCAATTTATTTATATACCTAGACAAGTAACGTTAATTATTTTAATTTCAAAAACGAGTGGTGGAAAGCATACGAGCGGTTGTTTATGACTATGAACTTAAATGAAAAATGAATGAATGAAAGGATTCATTTACATTATGTTACAGTTTTAATAATTAATTTATTATTCTAATCAAAGAATTAGGTAAACTTGTGTTACATTATACCAAATAATGTGATGCGGAAAGATTTTGGTTTGATGCTCGCATATAACGATAAAGAAGCCGGAGAAATTAACACCCTCTTATCTTACAGTAGAAACGAGTATAGATCGTTTCTAACACATTAATGATATTAATTCCATGGATTACTGAGATTGCTTAAAATAGTTACTCTGAATTTTTATAACTCGGTCTTAACTTGACGTTCATGACATAATCAAGTCAAAATGATGAAATTAGAAATCCCTGATATTTACAATTTGGTGATGAACTATCACAGTAATTTAGAATGACAGTACAATTGAGCTTTAATACCAATTAAGTAGTGCTTCTGAAATAAACACATAACTATTCTGATGAGCTATGGAGCTTATCGAATAAATTTCAAAGTACGTTCTCAATAAGTTAGGATTCGAGTACAAGCGTATATTTTAGAAATCGATAGAAACTTTTAAACCTACTTAAACAATTACTGACGGATACGTAGGTATTAGCACTTGACGAAATGTTAGTGGTCACTAAGTCACTTAATGCTGAGGTATACTACCAAATTTAACACTTGGGGTCATATTACGAAAAAATACATTAAAATTTTAAAAAATGTAGTCTAATAATCGGAACTCAAATACAATAGTCTCTTTGGACTAATTTGATAACACGTTGATTGTTAAATGCCTAAAAAATGATACTCCTGTCATAAGATACACTCATTGGTTGGCTATTTTTGTTTGATGATAAATGCTTAATCAATTGGAATGAATAACCACTTAACCGCAATGAGATTGGTTTGGACTACTCAAGTTAGTAATTCTCTCCAAGTACTACACAGTAACCTAACTAGTCAACATAGTTTGGCTAAACTACAAGTCATATCTACTGCATGAATACTGACGATAATAATTAATGCTGAATATCGAAAATGAAAAAATCTACGTATTGTGATTCCGTTTTGGGGAGAAGCAGGTTTGTAGTAAACACTTGAAACCCCAGTAATTAATTTCTGAAGTACGAATTCTTTAGGTAATTCATAAAATAAATATTGACTAAAAGACATAGTCAGTCAGCTAGTTACAACGTAGAACTTCGTACGTACGTACATCAGTCCAAGTTGCCATACGACATCAGCACAGAGACGCAACTTTCAATATAAATCCCATGGTAGTAGAGGTAGTAAAAGTATTAGCAGTGATTAAAAAGATTAGTGACCGAAGATATTATTCAAGAAGTATAGTCTAGTGAAATAAGCTGATTTACTTACCTTTAATAAGTAAACAAAGGATAGCTCTTAAAGCTTGATAGGTAATTAATTGACAGTCGGGTAAGTTAGAACCCGGAGCACAAATTAATGGACATTTAACTTTCTGGGACAAATTGGATAAGTCCTTTGGACCAACAAGATATCTGAATAATAATTTAGAAAATATCAAAAGCATCAAGGATTACTGACTAAAAATAGATAAATTGTTAATGTGAAACAAACGGAGAGAAATTAGCATGAAACCCTGAGTTCAAGTTTTGGACTTACTGGAGCATATCATCTGCAACCCGAAAAAAAATATATTCTTATCTTCAAGACGAAGTGAATGTCACACAGTTTGACAGTTAGGTATAGTAGAGCTATTCGCACTGACTAACCTTTCATAAAATTTAACTGAATAAAGTGGTCTTTCACTGGATAGTAACCACTATCATACATGATAGTTCTTGACGATTAGTGACTTTAGTTTGTCAAATCAATAGTCAAATAGTTCGTAATAAGAATGATTTCGTTATAAAAATTTTCAGATTTTCCTAATTATAATGTTAACAGAGTATTTTCATATCAGTTATCAGCTATGTTCATAACTTAATATTACACTTAGTATTAGAAAGTTCAAATTCAAAGGCGATAACAAGTAACTAATTAATGTACAAGGTTAATTGAATGGTTTATACAAATAATGAATTGAGACAATCCTGATATTAAGAGGGATATTGTCGAAAACCCTATGGAAGTCAGTTTGAAAGACATGAAGTATAAGAGATCTTCGTATAATCCATTATAAACACTTGCCTATATCCATCCATTTGAAGGACATGTTTCTATGATTGACCAAATTCAAAGTCTATATGTTTATTCAAATGCTTCTGGTGAGATAACCAGTCACTAAGTCGATATGTTTAGAATTATCCCCTGTTCTGTTCGACAAGATCTCCATTTACAACTTAGTGATGGAGAATACAGGATAATTATATCCATTATGCTGCAACACATAATACATTTACGCCATCTAGCTTTGGATTATTCATATGACATCATTTACGAGATCAAGTCAACCATACAAGGCTTCACTATTAAACATCTTTTTATTACAACCCAGGCTTCTAAATACGGAACTTATGTACTACCAAAGGTTGATATATTCAATACGTCATTCAGACAACTAAAGATATAATTACCTTCCTAAATGTTTAGATTTTGTTGTTATAGTAGTTATTTGCGTTAAATCTGGTTGTTCGATAAAGAGAAATGAATTTAAATAATGATAAATATGACGAACGTAGATTAAATCCAAAGTAGAGCTAAAACAAAACAATTAGAAAGATAGAAAAAGAAAGAAACCATATGAAATAGTTTATCAGAAAGAAATAGAATCCAATTATTTAAGTAGTTAGATAAGACATTAAAAAAGCACTAATGAAATTAAAAAAAACTCGAGCAAAGTTAAAGTAGACTTTATCGAAATAAAAAAATTTATTTAATTCAACAAAGATGTGTGGATAAGACCATTCAAAGGGAATATGAAATGAAGTATTCACAGAAACAAAGAGTCAACGTCAGCTCTAATACTGTGCCTATTAAATGTGCACAGATAAGCATATAAATAACCTATAAGGATCTGTACTTATAACTAAACATTTTAGCTTAGATTTTAGATTCTCTGTGTTGTGTCTTAGTTGTGAAAGTACTCAGCTTCTGGTCAGTAAGCCTAAAATTTAAACACTCTTCTACCCACTTCAGCCTCTGTAACCGGGTTATATCACAGTGTCTTAAACCCGAGTACATATACCTGTACTTGATAAATGAACCCACTTTTGTTGAACTGATTCTATTTAGATCAGGCAAACTTGCTGTAAGTTGCTTTGGAAAAATTCATAATTTCAAGTTAACCAAATGGTTAGCAGAGAATACGTTCAGTAAACAATCCTGACTGTTGAACTGATATTATTTAATTTCATTTTTCAGGCTCCATTTCATTCCAAATAATTACAGCAAAAACTGTACTTAACATCTTATCTAATTAGTAGATAGAAAACCATGTTGATTTCTTATGAACTAGTTGTATCATGTTGATTTCATGCACATGCCGAAAATATTTTTTAAGTAAAAAGGATACACTATGTCTATCAAAATTAGATTTAGGTCGCATGTTTCTGTACTATAAATTAGCTAGCGAAGATCGGATTGAAAATATGCCGTCAAAACTAGGAGGTATCAACAAAAGAGAACATGAATTTCACCCATTCGATTCTGAACCCAACTGTTTAAATCCCATAACCATTTATTTATATAAACTTACTAAATTACAGCAGAAACATCAAATATGTGAACTAGTGAAATGAAGTATTGTATTTGTCTGATCAACTGGAAAAGTAAGGGATGGATGAAGTAAAACTGTGATAGTGTTATTAGTCATGTTTCTAGTCCAGTCGCTTCGTATCAGGCAATAAACTTCTGGTTACAACGATTCCGAGTACTTTAATGGCAAAAGCTAAAGTTTATGCATTATAAACACGGTGTGTGGTTTTTTTTAAAAAAAAAACATTTCAACTTGCATTTTGAAAAACTCACTATATAAGTCTCCCTTCAAAGAAAAACGCTGAATGTTCAATGCAATTGAAACTATATCCAATCCTGTTAAGAAGACCATGAACACGTCCAAAATCAGTTGGTTCAATAGATACAAATTGAATTCCGTTGAAACAATCCAATATATCACAGTATTCGAAAAGCATAGTACGTAAATACTATAAAAATGAAACAATTATTTGGCATTTTTGGTTGATTATAATGTTTCCTAAAGTAAACACTTACTCGAGAAAAGAAGTGCTCTAGTTTAGCTTTTAATATTTCATAATCATAAGTTTCGATGATCTCAGTAACTTTTCCATGGAACAGCTATTAAAAGAAGAAGACACAAAAGGGAGTGAGGAATCATAGGTTCTAACAAACAAACATAATCGTAGACGAGACATTCTTCATCGTAAAAAGATATAAATTCTACTTACTTTAAACGTTTCGCACGCAATAGACAGGACTGAATCAATAATTTCATTATGTAAATAATCATTTTCAATTAGATTATCATTTGTTGAATCCACAATGGATGGTAATGAAATAACCTAGAATAGTGAAATTTGTTGATAATGTTTACGAAACAGAATGTACGTCTTACGATTACAATCTGTATACTGGGTGTTAAGCTTTTAAAAATTCTTTTTGTATTTTTTGTACGTATAGATGTACATGATGAACCGAAAGAACTATAAAATGTGTATGTTTAGATGAGATATGTGATAATGTATGGACATAGTTATTTAAGTATCAATTACTTCGTAAAAGTTAAAATAGCTTCAGATAATCCAATGGAATTCAGCTTATCGTCCAGCGACCTTTCGTTTGGGAAGAAATATAAGATCCTTTTATATTCCTAAAACGAAAGAACATTTGAAAGTAATTCATATATCAAATTTACATTGAAATACAATAAGCACAGAAAATATGACAGAGATTCGCTGCTGATGGGAAAACTTTTCAGGACTGGCCATCAATACTAGTTTAGATTGACTGAAATCTTAAGTAGAATCTGGGAACTGGACGTAATCCCATCCGACTGGTCTCAATCCCTGATTGTCCTAATCTATAAAAAAGAACAAAAGTCTCCTGGTGACAATCACAGGGGAATCAGTCTAACTAATATAGTTTCTAAATTGTTAGCCTCACTTATACTTAGACGCTTAACGAAAGCTCATAAGGAGCAGACTACAGAAAACCAGGCTCGTTTCAGACATGGACGTGGATGTATACACCACATATTCAAACTAAGACAGGTCCTGGAACACAGACACATTTAGGCTTCCTACAATAGCGGTATTCATTGACCTTAAGGCGGGATTTGACTCAGTGGATCGTGAGGTTCTGTGGCAGTGTCTGTCGTTGAAAGGTGTATCAGAGAAGTACACTAACCTTATACAAGCTCTCTACGCGAACGCTACAGGTCGAGTGAGAGCTTATGGCGAACTGTCACCGGGATTCTTTACTTCAAGTGGTGTTCGTCAGGGATGTCCACTCTCTCCATTCTTGTTTAATTTTATCATAGACATACTCCTAGATATAACCTTATCCTCTTCAGGATTTTCAGGAGTAGACCTTTTACCAGGAGGCTCGCTTATTGACTTAGAGTATGCTGATGGCATAATTCTACTTCGTGAATGGGCTGACAAAATGCAGTCTTCTGACCACCCTGAGCAACAATGCAGGCACGTTCGGGATGCGGTTTTCCCCCTCGAAATGCAAAATGTCGCTTCAGGATAGGCTTGCGACTTCACCGGAACTAGTGATAGGGAGTGAAGCAGTCGAACGTGTAGACCGCTTACCTTACCTTGGGAATCTCATCAGTGCTGATGGCCTGGTGACTGACGAAATCTCAGCACAGATACAGAAGGCTAGATTGGCTTTTGCCAACCTGCGTCACCTACGAGGCAGGCGAGATATCCGTTTTTTGACTAAAGGACGATTGTACCGTGCAGCAGTTCGCTCCGTCCTACTACACGGATGCGAAACATGGCCGGTGAGAGTAGAGGATATTCGTAGGCTATTAGAATTCGATTAGAGATGTCTTCGGAGCGTCGCTTGTATTTCCTCGCACAATCGAGTAAGCGATGCTGTCGTTAGGAAACGGGTACTAGGTAGGCATGGCAAATCAATAGATGAAATATTGAAACTTCATCAGTTGAGGTGGTTGGGACATGTGTTACGTATGACTAACCACCGACTGCCTCGACGAGCAATGTTTTGTGGTGCAGGAGTAGGTTGGTGCAACAAATTAAAATCTGCTTCCCATACCGAAAAGAAAATGTGACCCCGTGAATGAACTGATAATAAAATGCAATACAACTAAGTATAAGAATAGATTTTCTCTCTAACAAACTGATATACTTATATACCAAATATTATGAGCACGTGTTAGCAGGAGAAAGATTATATTTAAGGATGTCTATTGCAGGATTATGTGGGAGCCGGCTGATTGGCGCATTTTTAACTAATCAGCGCTAGTGGAGAGCTGGAGAAAGTAAAAGAATATTCCAGTGTAAAAATCAAAAATATGTCGTGTTTGTTACTATGGTTCCATTGCAGTCAACCCGACCGTAGCTACCCCTTTTCCTTGGTCGTCAGGATAGCCTATCAGGACGAACCAACCGAACTGTATTGCCTACGATATAAATCCCTTTCGGTCCTACCATGACAGGCAGGTCAATTGGCAAACGGTATGGGTAAAAGCATTAAGGAAGGAGGGGGTTAGAAAAGGTCGATCCTAAGAATGTCACACCTCACCTTACCTCACGATTCCCGTCTCCGCTGGTAAAACTGTTTGAAGAGAAGAGTGACCACTTTGCAAATTTCCCATAAAATGGCCGTGTGTGACAGGTCTCAAGCCGTTGTTCATCAGGCTCTGTAGTCATCCTCCCAGGTTGCTAAGGCCAACACCAATCCCACTTCTTTTTCCGATTCCTCAAGAAACACTCTTCCCCGGTGTGCAGCCGGGAAGTGATGCCCGCACTTATACTGGTAACAGCACATGAGACTAAACTGGTCATAATCAAATCTTCCTACACCAAAGGGCGGGTTTACTGCGCAGCAGTCAGCTTTGAATTTCTTTCAATTTTTATATTTCTCTTTCTAAATTTACTTTACTGAGATATACATCCCAAATATCTCCGACCAGCAATGTTCCCCATTACCGCCAATACTTCTACCAAATCTATCGCTATTGGATCTCGCTGTGCTCATGTGGTATGGCAACTTGAACTGATGTATGTACCTACGTAGTTCTACGTTAAGGCTGATCGACCGACAGAATGACTGAGTTCGAAGCTTGGGATTTGTTTAATGGTCAAATGTTTTCTGATCATTTAGGCAAACAGGCAATAATGAGTATTGATGAAAAAGGTAATGTCATTTGCCAACGTGTAGAAGCGAAACCGGAGGTATGAACTTCGTTTTAGCTTTGCAAGTACACTGGCTTTGTGTGGAATTGATGTGACCAGAACTGGTGTCTGCATCGTTCTCAATACGTAAAATTACTGGAAGACACTATTTACACTGTGACAACTTGTGAATTAAAACCAAAAAGTAAACATCTATAAACTATGAGATCGTAAAGTCAATAAAAAAACTAGGTATATGTAATCGAAAATAATGATTAGCATTACATTATTTGTAGTGGTTTCAAAGTACATGTGACCCAATGGTTTATGTACCTCACCTTTATCTTAAGTCGATTAACTACGATGACCCTACAATTACTTAAGTTTGAGCAGTTTAACAGTAAAGTCAGCAAGTTCACAACAGATTCCAGATAGATCAGTTGTTTACTGACTTATAACACAAAGAAGTTTGAAAAATGATTAGAAAAAGGCCATTAAAGACAAAACATCTAAGTACAGATCACAACGTAAACGGTCACAACAATATGTGATATTAATAAATGAATAGGAACTAAATAAATTCTAACAGAAACAGTCACAGACGTAAATTAAGTGGACGAAGCTATTTCTTATTGGAGTATAGTTACAAGTATTTGATCTCAAGATACTCAATTTATCAAAGTCTTAATCTCCAGGCGGAATTCGTCGATACATTAGATAAGGTAAAAAGATGTATCCTACCTTTTATCGGTCAAAGAATCCGAAGGGAATCAAAACATAAGGACTACAATATCTGTGTAAAAATTGATATTAGATCATGGAAATAAAAAACCGTAGACTACATTAAAACTACTATATAGGACTGCTAGCAGCAATAAATCAATGAACCCAATAATTGTACTACAGGCGTCTAAACTTGAATTTTAGGGGGCACGTGCACACAAATATATACAAATCGTTATGTGCAAACTAAATGGTCAGTAGATAAACTTTGACAGGATAATTTCGCCAAGCAAATGCAAACGCCAGATTGAATTCATCCACATTAAACTCGAAACAATAATTCTACATCACGGCCAGCAGCTACTTATTAATGAGAGTTTAAAACGAAATATAAATGATAAATCCAGTTTTATTCAAACGACGGCTGTCAGTGTGAAAATGTGGAGAGAATATGATTAGTTTCGTTGAACTTCCACAAATCGTAGCTGTCAGTTTTTGTCTCTAATAAAAAGTTAATTACACAAAATGCATCATCATTAGTGACGGGTAAAGACATATGTGGAGTGTTTGAAAACAACTCAATGCCTATGTTACGACGCTTACAGTACAGCTATTATTCTTCAAACTGAATGAAACAATACATAAACTAAATAGATAACCTTACATCGTCTTCACTCTGACACCCGTTTCTGTTGTAAATAAACAACTCCAGGACTTTTGGTCGCTCAATGACAAACATGGCGCCTTGACAGAAAACCTTCATATAGCTTAAAAAATCAACCACAACGACGATTCAATATCCAATAAATGTTTCACAATACAGTATGATTCGTCCGTCTTCTTTGCACTCGCTTCTTGTTGTCTCTGCATAGTTAAGTGCATCTGAGGGGCGGTATTCTAGTCACTAGACTGATTTAATTCTAGTCAGTTGACAGCTGTTTGTGCATTCGTATGGCGCCTGATTTGAGTGGTTAGAACTAGCAAGTCTCAAGGAACGTGGGCGCTTAGAAATTTACGTTGCCTCGCTGTCTCCCATCCCCCACTCACAGGAAACAATCTATTTTTGGATATCATACCACTGACACTGAGAGACCACAGTACCTAAAGAGTACTTTGAGTTAATGTTGCGACCCCCTGTCCTTGAATCTGGTGTATCTGCCTACTGTGCAGAGTAACTAAGGCATTAGCAAAGCCACAGGCCCCACGACAAATTCGCAACGGAAAAACATAAATCGCCGGTCAATATACCAGTGAAACAGGCGAGAAAGGCAGCCAAAACACAAACGAACACATTAACAGAGCTGATCGGTTGTTGTTAACCCTCACTCGACGGTGGATGAAGCGACACCCAGCTAACTGAGGTGACAAAATCATTTTGATGTTAGTTCCGCGCTACGTGCCTTATAATTGTATTCGCTACAACAAACTGCAGGTTCCACAGGGTGTCACCTATCCGTCAATTCATTTAGGTTTCAGTTTCAGTAACACCACCTTTTACTGGTGTGGGTGAATAGCGCTCCATCAAGCTCAGGGAAAGTGTTGCCCATACGCTTCAGTGCAGTGGCCAACTCTGTGGTCTTCATTGGACGGACTAATTCCCACTGACTGTCTATTAGTTTTGCTGCCGAACGGTCGTTGGCAGCGCTGGTGCTCGAGATCAGACTACACCAGTATTCCTCGAAACTTGAGGGGCACGTCGGTTCCTCTCTATAGAGCGTTTCCTACTCTCCTGAATGCGCCATGTGTGCTGCCTTTCTTGGATTTGTTCGCATCAACTTCGTCAGAGATTTCGAATTTGCTCTTCTAATCTCGCTATAACTTGATTCCGCGAGTCCCCTTGGCTCGACCCGGAGTCTAATTCTCTTGTTCGAGTATGGGAAAAACTTTCTTACGTATCAGTCTAAGCGTTCTCTAGCTTGCTCAACGCTTACCCAATCTTGAACTAGCGCGTTCGCTAGTTTATAAAGCGTTTGCCTCTTGTCGCAAGTGGTGATAACGGCCCGCAAGAAGCTTTTACTCCAGTTCTCAGTCATCAAAATGTCATTCATGGCCACACTTGTCTTAAACAACTTTCAGAATAACAATGTGGTGATAACATCCAATCGTCTTCGTATAAGGTGAGGAGTTGCAATAGCCTTGTTTGCTCCCCCTATGTAGGTCAAACTGGTGTGGATGTTTTCAGTGGTTACTAAACCGAGATCGCGTTCCAAGGAGACGTTTGAGAGCGGGCTTTCGTTGACAGTATAAGTCTTTTGCTCCATATGGGGCAGAATATGCATAACTTGACATTTCGACTGGTTTAGTTTTAAGCTGTTTTCTCACTGCCCATTCCTCAAGCTCAGTGAAATCCTATTCGCTTCTAATGGACCTTCAGATTTTGCATGGTCTGCGTAGATCATTGCCGCGCAGCTAACTGTGTCTAACATAATATGTTCACTTGTGACACTCCTGATATTGGGCCTGACTAACTTGCAGGCACATTATTCACGTTGATACGAAACTTTCTAAACTCAGGTTCGTTTCTAAGCCAAGGTAGGAGTTGGTCAGTGAAGTCCATTTCCGCAACCTTCACGATTAGGCGTGCGTGGGGTACTGTGTCAAGGAAACATTATGTGCACCGGTTAATTAAGCACCATCATGTTTTTCAGCTGTCCCATGCTATGAGAAGAATAGATGCGCAAGACCTGCCTTTCCGAAACCCGTATTGAGCTTCAAGGAGTATTTTATTCTTATTCATGTGCTCCTCTATCTGTTCGTTCACCAGCCCTTCCATTATTTCCTATAGAATTGGTAGTAATAAAACTAGTCTATAAGAATAATAATAATAATAATAAATTATTCTCAAATAACAACCTGTTACAAGAGGAATGCCAATTTATAGGCAAGATCAGAGTGTTAAGATTGCTAACATATATTTTGTAAAACGTCTTTCAGACACCGTAATATTCTGGCTGATCTTGTGGGACAAACTCGATCCTTAGCCTTATGTGGTGTTTTGAGGGTTCCGATCTATCAGCAAAAGGCAGTTGAAGGCCAGTCGGTTGGAGTGGCTGCTGGTTAGTGCGCTGCGGCATAGCTCGGTAACCCGGCTCGGGGTGCCAGGAATAGCTGGGTAAGCCCGCCTTGTCACCCATGCCAACTGAGGATTACGGGTAGTGAATTGGTTGGAGGGATCTTGTTTCTTTCATAAGTGCCCGAACGGGGGCCACTGCTCGCGTGCATACTTTTTGGACGTCCACTTGTCTGTAGACCAATCTAAACAACATGTGCGTTCCCGTATGGCGCAGGGGTGATCGCAATATTGGCTCTTGTGAGAATCTTTGTGCCGCTTAAAATGCAACGGCGTGCTGGTTAACCAAGAATATAGCCAAATGCCTCATCATCAAATTAGTGACGCGCATGAATGGATTACGGACATTCCCACTGTCCTTATTTACTATCTAGAGAAACCACAGCCGAGGGAACGGGCTTGGCAGAATTAGCGGGGAAAGAAAACCCTATCGAGCTTAACTCTAGTCCGACTTTATCAGGAGACATGATGGACGTAGTATAGGTGGGAGCTTAGGGTGCTCGGCAAAAATGAAATATCACTGCAATCACTGTTTCTTTACTTATCCAGTGAAACGGAAACGAAATTGTATTTTGGTTCATAGCACATGCTGCGGCGCGTAGTCTATCGCTACGTGCTTCGGTATCTTGGTCATGCCAGATGAGTTGTGGTGCAAATTACGGTATTTGAGTCTTGATGTGATGTGTGACCTGTTCTGAAGACCATGTCAGGCGGAGAGTTTGACTGGGATGGTACACCCGTCAAATGGTAACGCTGGTGTCCTATGATGAGCTCAGTCAGGACTGAAACCTGGCGTAGAGTAAAAGGGCTAAGGCTTACTTGGTTTTGATTTTCAGTACTAATACAGACCGTGAAAGCGTGGCCCATAGTTCCTTTTGATGTTATTTTTGGAGTTTGAAGCAAGAAGTGTCAGAAAAGTTACAACATGGATAACTAGCTTGTGGCGGCCAAGCGTTCATAGTGACGTCGCCTGTTGATCCTTCGATGTCGGCTCTTCCTATCATTGTGAAGCAGAACTGACCAAGAGTTGGATCGTTCACCCACTAATAAGGAACGTGGGCTGAGTTAAGACCGTCGTGAGACAGGTTAGTTTTACCCTACTTATGAGTATTCAGTGAAGTACAGTCTGATAGTTGCTATGGTAATCCTGCTTAGTACGAGAGGAACCGCAGGTTCAGATAATTGGTATATGTGCCTGGTCGAAAGGCCAATGGTGCGAAGCTACCAACTGAGGGATTAGGACTGATCTCCTCTAAGTCTGAATCCCGTTCAAATTTGCAACGGTACACTCTGCATCCGACACGTGGCTCGGCTAGTTTACGTTTCCCCTTTGAGGTCTGGACTGGACTATGTGTTCGGCTAGGCCCATTAGGTCTGGTGTTGTGCCAGAGCGATGACCTTAACCCGTGCTCCGTATTTTCGGGTACGGGGTCGACAAGATATCTGATTGTGGTATGAGTGTAAGGATACTAAATCGTTTGTAGACGACTTAATGTTTTGTCGGGGAGACGTAAGTGCTTCAGCAGCTTTCACACTGCGGAACACTGAATCCTATCCCTGCTCGACGCAATGATTTGAGGACTTGTCCTTAATCATTTCCCCTATACTAGGCTTCGGTCTGGTTGCTTGGTTACTTCATCTATGCGTATAAATATATTGTGGTCTTGGCATATGTATATCATATATGCATATACCGTATACTTGCAGTTGACTGGACCTGTGCATTCGTGTGTACTGAACTGTGCATAGGTGATTGCCAATGTATTCAGTATACGTATGTGCACGGATCTTGTATAGTTGCGAGCAAATTTTTTTGAGTCAAGTGTAGTCCGCGGCGTTTTCGCGAAAAAAATCGCGCGTTTCGCGGCGCGGCTGTTCGCAAAAGGCATTTTATAGTCCTGAAATATATTTCAACTAGACTGCATCTCTGCTGCTAGTAGGAGACCACCGAATTAAAGGTAGTCTCCCAACCGCGCTCTCTTCATAAAAGTGGATTTACTACAAACTACTTGAGGATGGAAACGTGTATAAACCAATCGACACAAACCCAACAAAAGAGATGGACAACAAAATCTCAAGGACTCTAAATTGGCTTGTAAAAGCAGGACAAATATCAAAACAAGATCAATAGAGAATGAAATCCAGTGGACCAGTAATTCCACGATTCTACGGTATGCCGAAACTACGCAAACACAATATTTCACTACGCCAATTTGTATCCCTCCCAGGAACCCCGACCTACAACTTATCAAGAGAACTTTCAAGGATATTAAAACATCTGATGGATTGATCCAACTACTCCATTAAGTCTACCACACATGTGGATTCGAATCTAAAACGACGAAACGATGATATCCTTTGACGTAACAGCCTTTTCACCTCAATAGAATCAAGGTTATCGAAAGAAACTCTTTCCTGCGCCTCACCAACGACACAAATCTGCAAAATATACGAAACTTCAGAGCCAAAGTCTGCTAGAACCCATGGCTCTATGCTTAACAACGGCTCAATGCTCCGCGGTAATTCCTTATGTTTGAAATTAACAGCCACCAGACACACAGACCCAGCATTGGTGACATGACTTTTGTTTGTCCCGGATAACTCTAAGTTGTCAACTGATTTTTTCTGCACTCCTTGCTCAACATACCCTTAATGGAGTGGTTTACCCTCTCGTCAAATTTCGCTTTTTAAAGAA